ATTGAACGGTATATGAGCTCCATGAAACGATCAAATTGACGTTGATAATGGACGGCACGGTTCATATAAACACCATTATGTATGAGATAGATTTTTGCCGCGGCATAATTTCGCTTGAAATATTGGCCGGCCAATGTGTGCATCCTTTTACATGTTTGACCGATGGACTTTACATCGTCCAAGGAAAGATACTCAAATATTTCCTCCAAACAATCGATATTTAGTTTGAAAATTGTCGCTCTCTTCACTTCAAAAACAGATTGCTCTTTTCTTTGTGCTTCCATTTCACCGTTTAATAGGCCGACTTGATTTCCGACTTTTACCAATATTGCTTGACTTTCACACATTTTCAATCGACATTTTCAAGAACCGAATTTAATTTGACTCAAAAAAATCTTCCCATGCCTTAAACTTGAAATCGTTCAAAATTTGAACCGAAACAAATGTTCACAATTGTTCTGCTTATGAGAAAGTAAAATGAACAAATGCACTCCTTCATCAATGACTTCGAAGTATTAAATATGTATTGAGTTAATGATATCATAGCCCAAAGGCTAAGTTTATCGGTGTCTGGTGATGAAATTTTTGAATTCAAAATATATGAAAAAATTATACAAAAACAACACGTCATTTCATATGCGTCAAGTGTTTCACAAAATCCGGTAAAATTCCTCTCAATACTCATATTTTGCCCACAATGTTTATAAACAAGCCATATTCGACCGATTGACACACGCGCGCGTGCAGTATAAAATTGTTGTCTATTTTCGTCGAATGAATTAAACCAATACAAGCACAAAGTTAAACCAATATCTACATAATTATACGAAAAAAGAAGACGAGATAAATTAAAAGGCTATTTTTGTGAAAAAAGTTCGTTGACAAAAAAACAGTTAATAATAATAAAACAAGCTGCTGTTTCAAATCGATTATTATTTTATTGTAATGGCAACTGTTCAAATATCTTATCCGAATAAGAATTCGAAACCGAAAAAATCCCATATGAAAGTTAAAATACCGCTTAAATCATTTAAAATATACTACCCTGAACCGTTCATTCCGTCCAATTTAAATTGGTCAACCCTGCGCTTGTCAATCGAAAAATCGAATTTGACATGTCAAATGTTGTGATACAAAGGGGAATTTGTTACTCGTACAAAGCGCACATCAATTTCACAATTATTGATTTCGTGAGAAAAGTCTCACACAATTTCGACGCTGTCAAAACTGTGAATATATAATATTGTTTTTTTTTTGCGGTACGTATAATATTTTGTGGAAATATCTCAATTGATTCGATTGAAAACCGAGTGTTCTCATCTTATGTGTGATAATTTTTTTAGCCGAAAAATCATGAATAATCAAAAGTCGAGGCTGAAACGAATTGACATAATCGCATTAGAGTTCGGTGGGTATGAGGTAGAGCACCATCCTGCACCATCCGAAGGTATATGGAATGATTTTTTTTTTCTTAAAATCAATTACAAATTTTATTTATTTCAGGTCAAAGCCGAAAACGAAAGCACAATGCAAGTGGCAACAACATTGAGTACGATGCGCTAAAAATTGCCGCGATGAAACCTCTCGTACCATTGAAAAAATTGAGGCTCGACGATAATCAAAATTCCAAGCTTAAATCCAAGCTGACGCTAACCGATATGCCCTACGACATTTTTGAGCCGATCTTCAAACGCTTGAATCTGATCGATCTCTTAAGCATAGCTGATGTCAGCAAATATGGAAGAAAAATGGCCCAAATTTATTATTGGTGGAAGTATCGAAAGTCAACCGTTTGCATAACCAGCCATTTTACGACCAATCAACGTATGTACGACATAAACGATGGCGAAATTGTGATAAAAGATTATAAAACAACAGTCGATCTATTTCGATGTTTTGGTAAAATGGTTAAATCACTTGAAGTGATTAGTTTTCCGAAATTTCAATCGATACTACATCATGTGAAATATATCATGATGCTTCATAAGATATCCGAATGCCTAGATCTTACATTGACAAAACTTAAGATTCAAGGTGACGAAAAAACGGTTCTAAGTGGTCTACGTACACATTGGGCTTGGCAATTAACAATTAACGGAAAAGTAACGTATGATTGTTTGTTAAATAAATTATTATTAGATCCACGGAATGGAAACTAATCCAACACAATATTAACCCAACACATATTTAATCCAAAGAGAAATGATATAGCTTAAGTAGGACCATTTTGTTGATACCATGTAGGACCAGATTGAGAATTACACAATTTGATAGATTAAAATTCATCCAAAGAAAGTATTTTTCCAAAGCTCCAATTTGTAATTGTCAAAAATTATTATATCAAATCATCATTCAACAAAGATAATCATTCGATAAGGAAAACATTTTGTATACAGTAGAAGATTACGTATGCTAAACAATAAGTTTCATGGGAAAAATTGACATAAAAAATAGTGCAACACTATTCAGGGATTAAAAAAATCCAAAATTTCTTTGCAAAAAAATTCAAAAATAGATCAAGTTTGTACAAACAGAATTTTCAAATTTTCATTGAAATTGTACATTGAAAAGATTCATGAAAATCTCTTCAAATAAACAAAAATCTATTTTTCAAAAACTGAATATTTGTTTTAAATTCAATTTAATTTTTAATAAATTCGTTGTTCATTGTCTTGGTACATATTGTGTTGGTACTAAATTTCGTTTTAGCGCCAAATGTCACACACTTTAAACCGTTCAAATCGACATAACCAAACATTTGTGCAAACTGAACGTTTTTCTCCGCTTTGCATACATCGATGTAATTTTTTCTCATATACATCGATGACAGAGCGCATACATTCATGACACTTCTGACGTTTGTGTTTTTTTTTCTTTCTATCGTTTGGTTTGGCATAGCTAATTTTTTTTTCAAGTATAAGTCACATTACCTGCCTCACAGAGCAAAGTCGATTATTTTCAGCGAAAAAAATAAATTGTATTCAATCGTGAAATGGCGTCAATGTTGAGCCGTGGTGCAATTTTAGCTGAGTGTTTAGTGAAAAACACAACACCAAAGGTAAATTCTAAATTTCTTGGAATTATTTTTTTATTTCTATTGTTTTGACGGACAAAGGTCGTGTATAGAGAGAAAAAGAGAAAAAAGTATCATGTGTCATTAATTTATTGGATCCAAAGTGCACCAGTTACCGAATTAATGCTAATCAAAGTGTTTGAGTCGCAATAAATTATCCAATTTTTATCGAATGGAAGTTTTTCTCTGCGATTTATAAAATAAGAACGCACAAAAAGTCGACATAGAACAGTGTTACGTAAAGAGCATGACATTTATCCAATTTTCCTTCATACACACATGCACACTGTCTATCTTAAGGCTTGCATGTTGTTGTTGTTGTTCGGGTGTATTTTTACTCATTCAGTTTCAATGAGTGCAAACGTGTCACGATGTATGTCACGATCAGCTGGTGTCAATACCGTTATTGTGCCAACATTTAAATAGAATTCGAATTAAACACAATTGAATGCCATTCAACTGATACTGATTTGTGTTAATGTGATTCTAGGTTTTGGGAGCTGCAATACAACGACGTAATCTCAATGTACAAGAGCATATCTCGTATTCATTGTTAAACGAAGCTGGCATTCCGACACCGAAGTAAGTTTGTTACTTTTTCGATTATTTTTTTTAAAGATACATTTTGTCTAATTGCATCGACTGTTCATTGGTAGATTCGGCGTTGCCACATCGACCAGTGAGGCAAAGAAAATTGCCACCGATTTGAATACCGAGAATTTGGTATTGAAAGCACAAGTATTGGCCGGTGGTCGTGGTAAAGGTGCATTCAAAAATGGTTTCAAAGGTGGTGTACGTCTTGTTTTCTCACCGGAAGAGGCCGAACAAGTGTCCGGTAAAATGATTAACCAAATATTAGTCACTAAACAAACCGGTGCCGCTGGACGGATTTGTAATAAAGTTATGGTCGCTGAACGAAAATTCCCAAGACGCGAATTTTATATGGCTGTTATGATGGAACGAGCATTTAATGTGAGTATTGAGTGGAAAAAATCGGAAACTTGTAAAATTATCTTCATAGTTTAAAAAAATCGACTGAACATTTATTGTTTTTAGTTTCGTTCATATATTATAGGAATTTTTTTCAAGTCGGTTCCATTTCTTTTATTAAAAGTGCTTCTATTCTATTACTCTGGCTGTATACAGTCTGGATTTTGTGAAACTCTTCCTACCAAATTTAATATTAATATGAGATCAATGTAATGCCAAGAACAAATGACTAAAACATATTATTTCGAACATTTTTCAGGGTCCCGTCATTATTGCATCGTCCCAAGGCGGTGTAAATATTGAAGAAGTCGCCGCTGAAAATCCCGATGCCATTCTTTATGAACCAATCGATATTGTCAAGGGATTGACAAAAGAACAAGCTGTGAAAGTAGCCGAAAAACTTGGATTGGGCAATGTTTCCGAACAAATTTCCAAAACACTTTTGAACATGTACGAATTATTCGTCAAAAAAGATGCACTCTTGATTGAAATCAATCCATACGCCGAAGATGCATTCGACACTTCCAAATGTAAGTGTGTGGTATTTTACGTTATTTGTATCTGATCAGTGTCTAATATTCTGGAGTTGAGAATTTTCATGCTTGCTGTTATTACAAAAAATATTGTAATAGTCACGTGACTATTTTAATAAATGATATTTCATTTGGGTGCAACTATATTTATAATTATACAGTCACATGTTAACTTGGCTAATATTTTATTTTATAAAGGACGCAAACATATTTACATTGAAATGTACGTGAGTTTCTTCATAATTCCAATTCACTCAAATGAACAGTGATGTTGCCACCATGTTGACTTTCTCGTACAAAGCAATGCTTAGTTTTTAAATACACTAAACGAATTTCATCCGTGTTTTTTGAAAAAAAAAAAAAAAAAATAACAAGACGGAATCAAATATCCACGAAAAAATGTGTGAAAGTTGTACATTTTCTGATTGAAAAATCGAATAAAAATTGAGTCCAATAAAATAAAGAATTTGCGGTAGGCTTGAAAATTGAATATAATAAAAAATTGAATTTTATGATATCAGTTTGATATTTTCAAAATGACATTTTTACGAGAAAAAAATTAAAAGTTTTGAATTATTGCAATTTTCAAAATTTTCAATTTGGATATACATGAAGGGGAACAAATGTTAAAAAAATAAGATTTCAATTCAACAGAATTTTCGTTAAAAAATTTCCACAAAAATACGTTAAATTGATAAGATTGTTTTTGAAATTTCTAATTTTCAATTTCACCGCAAATTCTTCATTTTATCATTATATTTTTCAATTTTCTTTTGATTTTTTCGTCGAAAATAAATCAAAATAATTAATTTTATTTAAATATTTTTTTCAACTTTTTATTTCAAATTTAATTTTAAAAAAATGTCCTTCATTTATTTTATGGTCCAAATAATTTATAAATCTGAAATATCTCATAATTAAAAAAAAATCTAATAATATTTGTTTGTAAATTTTCAGACTTCGCATTGGATGCAAAACTTCGATTTGACGATACGGCTGAATATCGACAAAAAGATTTATTCAAACTTCGTGATTACACTCAGGAAGATCAAAAGGAGGTGGCTGCAACGAAATTCGATTTGAATTACATTGCTTTGGATGGTGCCATTGGTAGACTGCCTTTTTCTAATTTGTTTCCTAATTTTAATTAAATCAATATTATTCCCCTTGAAAATAATATGTTTTTCAATATGTTAGGTTGTTTGGTGAATGGTGCCGGTTTGGCGATGGCAACAATGGACATTATTAAATTGCATGGTGGTGATCCAGCAAATTTCTTGGACGTTGGTGGCGGTGCCACAGCCGAGGCGATTAAAGAAGCCTTTAAAATCATTACCGCCGATCCAAAGGTGAATTCAATTTTGGTGAATATTTTCGGTGGTATTATGCGTTGTGATGTGATTGCCGAGGGTATCATTGCTGCAACCAAAGAGTTGAATCTCAAAACACCAATTGTTGTTCGTTTATTGGGCACAAAAGTTGAAGAGGCCAAAGAACTCATCAAAAACTCAAAACTTCGAATTTTGCCACGTGATGACTTAGACGAAGCCGCCCATTTGGCTGTCTATTTGGCTGACATCGTTAAATTGGCCCGTGAAGCTAAATTGGATGTCAATTTCGAAATTGCCGAATTCGACAACTAAAAACACACTCATCCTACGGCTATCGATCTGATTTTACAGCAGTTAGCCAATAAAACGTATTAAATATGTAAAATGATAAGAACTATTTAACCGAAAATTTTGAAAATTCATGCATTAAACAACAAAACCGACTACAACCGCCTCTATTTATCATTTAGTTAATTCAATGTTTTGATTCTATTTTCTCCATTATTTTGACATAAAAAAAACACGAAAAAATTGTTCACGCACAATGCGCTTCTCTTTCATTGCACTTATATACCTATATTGTTGTTGTCATTGTTATACATACATGTTAGACATCATTCAATTGATCATTTTGATTTCAATCATACCGCAAATACAATTTTAACCAGTGAAAATTTGTAGTTTTTATGATTACATTTCAAAATTTATTCGAAACACAAAGAAAACTCAATTTTTTTTTTATTGTGAATAATCAAAAACACATTTTTGCATGATTTCAAATTGAATTCTAAACATAAGGACCAATTCGTTACATAATCATCATGCCTTAAAGTCATTGCATTGAATCAAATTAATCATCAAAGAAAATTCCATTCATACGAATCGATTCGTTCAATTGCAATAAATCTGAAATTGTAGGCGCTATTTTTGGAATTCCACTTTGTTGCCAAGAAAATATCATCTGGAACAAAAATCGCAACCTTTCGTGCTCCGTCCAATTTTTCTCGTTCGCCATTCAATATATACAGCTTAAGTATTACTGGTTTATATTCAAATTCAGTTGGGTCGTACGACGCAGCTCCGCAATTTTCATTGACTCTCGGAATCAGTCGAATTTTGTTCAACTGTTTTGATTGTTGAATGAATGGCAAAATATCATCGACAGATGCAATTCCCAAGAAAGACGTTCCAAATTCACAAGTTTACTTACCAGCACCGCCATAGAAATATCGGAGTCACTTTGTATAACGGCAAATTCGGTTAAATTAGTCAAAAACGGTTCAATGCTATTTACAAATCTTTTGCAATGAATAGACAATTGATCAACACGTTGCATTTGATCACCATTTGATCGTTTCCATGTTCATCAATTATTCTGGCGTTTACATTTAATTGCTTGTAGCAGCCTTGATTACGAAGTTGATTTAGCAAATCCCATGCCCATCTAACATTGTGACTATTGTTATCCATACACGCCAAGCAACTAGTTCTCAATCCCAATGTGTTTAATTATATCGTTGACTTGAGTAGCTCATCTCTGTGCCACCACAACAAAAATGTACTCATCGAAAAACTGCGAACGTTTGGATTAAGT